ACCAAGTCAGGCAGCTTGTAAAATAGCCGAGATTTCCCTTTTTCATTCTTGCTAGTCTTTTGGTTTGATTTTTTTAAAGATCTTCTCTAGTGGGCAAAATAAACTTCCCACAGCTGTGTGAAGCCGGTCAACATCAGATGTAACAAACAACAATAGTGAAGTTTATTTGTAGAATATCTTTTTGGGGTTCTTTCTGCAGCCCGGCTATTCTGAGCTCTTCACAGCTTCTCTCTAAACAAAAGAAGGCGATTCCCTTTGCTCCCCATGGATTTCTGCAAGAAGAGCAATCCAACTGCAAGATTCTGAGAGGTTCGGCATTAATTAAGTTGAACTATACAAAATAATTACATGCGGGCACACACATCGTTCAAAGGCAGGTTGTCAGTACCTGGTAACAAAGTTGGATGCAAACTCCATCAGCATAACTGTCATGCGGCTGTTAGGAGGAAATAAACGCATCCCAAACGGACAATTTCATTTAGGAAGAGAGAGAAAAAAATGGATTGTGAAGGATTAATGAGCCAAAGGATTTGTGTTTTCAATTGGATGTAAAATGCAAACATACTAACTTGTGATATCATCATTTACCCTTAATGTTCAATAGAGTTCCAATTGCTATCACACCAGAGGGGCAATTAACCATGAGCCGTGAAAAAGAGAACATTCCAAGTGGGAGAGGGGCTTGGGAACAAATGGAGGAGAAAGGCTGAAACACAGCAGCAGTCAAGAACACATGGACAGACATGATAGGAAAAAACCCACTGATTTTGAAGGGGTGCCTTGACCCCTGATGCCCCAAACAAAGCTGACCTCATGTAGCAAATTGGTTGCCCAATAATGCATCAAAATCATGGATTCCGAATGGTGAGGAGGGTATTTCTATAAAGGTAACAGGGCTATGCTATAACCAAATGGTTCCGAAGCCACACAAAGAAAGCACTGTGAACTATACCACTGGTTATAGGACACATTACCTGTTTGTTGTATTTATTACCCCGCTGTCACTGAGCTGTTTTCTACCATTTTTCTACATTCTGAATCATATTCTATGCTAGCTTCAAATCTCTGTAATCCTGGTACTAGAACATTGCTTATTAGATATGTCATCTTATTGATTGCATAAGCTTACTCTGCAAAAGGTGGACATAAAATAACAATAAACCACTAAATAAACCATACATAAATAAATATCTGACACAGGCCAGCAGATGCAAGATCATGAAATGGGTTTGCATCACAATTCAGATAGCATGTTCTCCTTGCACATCAGTTTTTCAGCCTGCAGGTTAAGTGTCCAGATGAGTGTGGTTCGCAAACTGCTCCTTACGCCCCCTTGCCTTCAACTGAGCCACAGAAAAATAACCAAAGACTGTTTTCAGGCAAGAGAAGAAAGGTGGCCTTACCAACACTTCACATGTTTTTGTTTTTAATTTAACACATGTTTAATTTGTTTTTAATTTAACCTTTTACAAGAATCCCAAAACAACAGTCCCTTGTTCCCTCTTCCCACCCCTCCGCTCATTCTCACCCAAATAGTTTCATAGCAGTAGCCCAGCCATGATTTATAATGTAAATAAAACACAAGTTTGGTGGCACCTTAAAGAATAACAACATTTATTCCAGCTCAAGCTTCTATGAGTCAGAGCTCACAGCTCTGTACCTCAAAGTACAAAGGGAAGCAAAATGCTCAAGAGAAATCGGTGACTTCCAGGCCGGGGAGGGGTGCCGGCTGTGGATAGTTGAGGCAACTAGACCCATGGATGTGCTGTGCCAGACACTGATGCTGCTGCTACACGTTGGTGCATGTGGGGCAGGTCCCTTCAGAGGGATATCAGCACCTGGGAGGCTGGACTGCAAGCCACTATGTGACCTTTGTGCAGCCTGGAGTCACCTGAGGATGGTACCTGGGGCTCCTTTTACCTTCTGTGGTCAAATGGTGCCAGCTCTGAGCTTTGTTCATGCTCAGAATGTGGCAAGCCTGTTCTTGGGAGGCAGAGGGTGGGGTGCACATGGGAGGGGATACTGGGGGTGGGGCCTCACCTACCAGAGATTTTGCAGTGCAGCTCTGTCTCAGTTGTTATCCTTAGCAGAACATGGGAGCCCCTCTGTAGCCCTTGCATCTGACAGCTTGGAGGGGGGGGGGGGGGGCAGTTTCTGGTATTTGTGTGCCCCAGATGTGATTTGAAGACACTGCAAATGAATTGCAGGTTTCAGATCTTGGGGTGTTTGAAAGTCAGGCCATGCAGAGATGAAGTATGGCAAAGAAATCCAGTTTCTAAAGTGAAATCTGAATCTGATGGCAAAAGAATCCAAAACTAAAATAGAGAGGGAGAAGGGGGGGGGAGAGCCAGTATGGTATATGTATTTTTTCTCATGACTATGTCAGATCGGGGGGGGGGGGTTTGGGGGGGGTGGCAATATTTTTTGGCAAAGGGAAAATGAACCCGGCTCCTAGATCCAAAGAAAATTTGTGAAGGCCGGGACTAGATGGAGCCTTGGTCTGATTCAGCGTGCCTCATTTTACATTACATCTGAAAGCTACTAATCATGTACTTCATCAGTCACCACTCTGTGCAAACACAAGTCAATGCTGACCAGCAGTAGTGATGCAGCCTGGCCACAGTCAGTCACATGTGGGTGAACAGATCTTTGTGTATTGGGGGGGGGGGGGCAGCCTTTTCAAAGGATTTAAACCTGAATTAGATGGGGAGGGGAGGGCTGGGCTGGGGCAAAACAATGCCTGGGACCCGCAGGAGCCTTCCTGACCCTCCCCTTTCTCCATCTCATTGCCACTGCAAACATCGGCTTGAATAACCAGAGACAGCAAAATGAACTAAATCATTTAAAGCAGTTAAAGAGAAGGAACATTTTCTCCTCACTAAGTGAATAATTTATGGCCTGAGCTATCATAATAATAATATAATAGTAATAAAAGAAGTGTTCTTCAGGCCTGTAGTACAGGAAAACGTACACAGAATAAAAAAGATCACATTTCAGGCTCATAAATAAATGAAAAACAAAAACCAACAGTAAACAGAGAAGGAATTGAGAGGTTTCTCTTCCCTCCGGCTTCCAATCACCAGCACAGAAAATGCAAGTCCAGCCACACCACGCCAAGTTCACCACTTGGAATATTGCAGAGCAAAGGCTCCTGCAGGACCACAACTGAGCAGGCAAGCAAACAGCCATGAGGGCAGCGATGGGGGGAGGGGGAGAGAGTACTGTCACCTGCTGTCATCCCCCCCCATCTCATCAAAAGATGACCCCACTCCCCCCAGAAACACTAGTGGGCAAGGAACTTCTCCTACCTCATCCCAACAAAAAAGTAAACCTGTCTCCCTTATAGCTTCTAGCCCTTTCAGTACACTGCAAGTGTGTCAATGCAGAACCAATATTCTTTTTTGGCCTGGGCCTTGGTAGAATTTGAGAATGTACAAATAGAATTTTTTCTAGGAGCATCCAAAAGATCTCTTCACAGGCAAACAGTGTGGCTAACAGTCTTAGAATGGAATATAAGAGGCACACAGAAAGGGGATGCAAGAAGCTGCTATGCAAGATGGCCTTTGTTAACCACCTGAACCCACCAACCCCCAACACCCAACAGGAAAAGTGATGGGAAGATGCTGCTAAATCATGAAATGTCTGCTTGACTGGGCAGCTTCTGAGTTCATGACAGCTCTGATTAGTAGAGGTACAAAATGAGATCACTTTGGATGAACCAGGGATTTCTACAAAAAAGAGAAGATCCTTTTTCATATATTGCATGCACCAGAACTGGCTGCTGTACAATATAGTAAGGTGAAAACAATGCAGGTGATGCACCTGGAGAAGGTGCAAAAAATTCTTTCTGTCACTGAAACCATACTCATGTTCATTGATTCAATGTACAATCCCACTGAAGCAACTGCATTTGACAAAGGAGCACAGAACCCAATTTTTAACATACTTGATGGTGCAGAAAACAGTTTCAGTACTGGAAATAACCAAACTGGACAACTTGTGAGAACAAATATTTATGATCACTGTAAACACTGTCCCCTGGAAGTTTCCTAACTGCCCTCTGGCTCCCAGACAGCAATGGCTCCCAAAACAGAGGAGCTGAAGTAGGCCTTGAAAATCCCAGCCACACTGAGCGCATTCAGCAGCCATGGCTGTCAAAGCAGGAAGACCCATACAGTAGTGATTTTGCCCATATATTGGCATTATACAGCACATGAATACAGAGGTTAAATGCATCGCCATTGCCCATCCTTGAGCTCTAACTCAATAAACAAACAGGAGAGTGGGGTACAAGGAATCAACACTGAACTAGGCTACCTCAAAGTTGCAAGACCACTATAATCTATATATCTAATAGTCAAGTTGCCCCCTGAGTGCGGATGGCTAAATCAGCGCTCCGGGGGCACTTGGGGGGGAGGGGGAGGTTTGTGCACACGTGGGCCAGTCCCCACGTGTGCACAAAAATCGAAAAAGTTGAAAAAAAATCGGGGGGATGTTTAAACCCCCCTGAAAGTGACAGAGCGTCCCCTGCGCATGCGCAGGGAACGCTCTGTAGCAGGCCGCGCCGCCGCCGCGCCGCCACCGCCTCCTCCTCAGAGCCGGGCGGGGGGGCACCTCCGCCTTGGAGCCGGGCAGGGGGGAGGACCGGCCTCGCCGCCGCCGCGGAGCCCGGCCGGGTCGGAGCCGGGCGGGGTGGGGGGTGGAGGACTGGCCTCTCCGCCGCAGCCTCGGGAGATTGAGGGGGGGATGGAAGAGACGGAGCTCTTCTCCCCCCCCACGAGTATCGCGGGTCCCCCTCTTGTAATATATAAAGCACTTTGAGCACTAAAAACACTATACAAATGCTAAATATTGCTTTTTATGTTATTGGTTCTTTTACAGCAACTAAAACAGAAAAACATAGGTCATATGCATGGTCCCTACAAGCTTCTACATTGCTTACAATAGCTGGGGAAGGATAGGGAGGATGGGAGAGCCCACATTCCAAAGTGACAAATTACCTCGAGGTCGGTTCCTCCGTTTCCGTCGTCCAACAGATGCGCTGCGTAGTGCTGGCTGGAGCTGACCTATCTCAATAGGTGTGTTGGTTCGAAAACTCTCCTTGAACTTTTGCATTAAGGACTCTACCGTTTCTTGAGTCACCTCTGCAGCTATAAAGGGGAGACAATGGGAGAGCAGAAGGTTAGAAGGACATAGGGAAACAGAATTTTGTGCATCCTTTTCAAAGGCACTCACCCACTCCCCAAAACATAGCCCTGAGTTACCTAGCCTGGCAGCAGCCCAGCACGAACGGGGGAGTAAGAGAGGCCTGCAATAGTTTTAACAGCTGTAGAGCCGCGGAGTCGAGTGACTGGCGCGGCGGAGCTTTGTGATGACCCCGGTGGGAGAGAGGAGCACCGGTGAGGAGGAGAGCAGGAGAGGCTCGCAGTGGTTTATGATAGCCCGCAACAACTTGTTAACAGCCGAGCAACCGGTACGGCGAACCTCGGCGTGGTGAGAGCACGACTGAGAGGTGTTGGGGGAAGCCCCGAGAGCACCGGGCTCGACGGAGCCTATACTAAAGGGGCCCACGAGATAGTGCCCACGAGATAGCGCAGGGGTACCTGAGGTGTGCTCGGGGCCTAGCGAAGTCCATGGGCCCAAGTCTGGGGAGCGCGGAGCTGGCGACGACACAGCAACGTGCCGGGCAGTGAAGAGGGGCAGCTCGTTCCAAGACAACTGTGAGAGAGCCGATGGGGTTGAGCTGGTTCCAACCTGGCAGTGAGAGAGCCGGGAGGGAGCCCCTGCTTCGCCAGCTGTTCCCGGCGGCTGTGTGGCGATTGTTAAAACCTGGCAGTGAGAGAGCCGGGAGGGAGCCCCTGCTTCGCCAGCTGTTCCCGGCGGCTGTGTGGCGACTGTTCCAACCTGGCAGTGAGAGAGGTTAAATGCATCGCCAGGAGGGAGCCTCTGCTTCGCCAGCTGTTCCCGGTGGCTGCGTGGCGATCGTTAGGCCCATTGGATGAACGACAGCTGGGACTGAGTTGTAACATCATCAAAATACGATCAAGGGCCCCTGAGTGTGGAGTGGGGAATGAGGTTTGCGCCCGGACTGGAACGGGCAGCTCCAGAGCTGATGCGGGAGGCCTCAGTGCTTGGGCCGGGTCTCCGGGAAGAGCGAAAGGAGGATCTGCGCTTCTATCGGCTGGAGCCCCCCAGTGGCTGATATACAGAACTGCAGGCACCGGGTTGCTTGTGACTGGGGAGAAGACCATCTGGAGCCACCTGACTTCTTTCCTTCCTGGCAATGTGATTGCTATTGTTGCTGGTGGAATTTAAATGTTGGTGGGTTTGTTAAGGTAGGGTGAGTGTTTATGTGCTGCTATGCGAGAGTGGAGTGAATGTTGATTGTGTGGAAGGGTGATTGCTGCAAGAGGGTGAGTTAGGAGTCTCGGGGACCTGGTAGTGAAGGTCACTGTTTGTAATTTTTGTTGGTTGTAGCACTGTTATACTTGATAGCAGTAGGGTAGTTAATGGTTAGTACTGTTGAGTAAAGTACTTGTATTTTAGCCCGGTTTACTTGCCCAATTTGCAAGCCATGGGCGATCTGAGGCGTAGCGAAGATCGCCCAGTGGTGGACAGACCTGGTCATGCAATTCCGGTGCTCTTGGGGCGGGGGAAGTATAGCGGTGGGTCTAGGCAGTGTTTTAAGGGAAGGATGCGGAGAAGCAGAATGGCTCGGCACCCTTCCAGCCTGAGACCCATCCCAAGGGTGACTGGCAGTGGGGCTACGATGGAGTACCCCTCTCCGTCATTGGTGTTGTGCAATGCCAGGTCGATTAACAACAAAGCTGCTGTCCTTCGGGACTTTGTGATGGACCAACAAGCTGACCTGGCATGCGTGACCGAGACCTGGGTCAGGGAGGGGGAAACCGTTGCCCTGACCCAGCTTGCTCCACCTGGTTTCTCGGTCCTCCACCAATCACGGACAAAGGGGCGGGGGGGAGGAGTGGCTATTTTCATTCGAGAGGCTTCTCCTTCAGGGCGCTCCCGGCTGTGGAGATCGCGGGCATGGAGTGTGTCGGAGCGATGCTGGAGGCTGAGGAGAGTTTGGCGATTTGGGTGGTGTACCGACCGCCTAGCGCACCGGCCAATAGCCTGCCGTCCCTGCTGGAGGCCGTATCAGGCTGGGCGTTGGAGCACCCGTGGCTGTTGGTCGTGGGTGATTTCAACGTCCATGCCAAGGACGCGACCTCCAGCCGGGCTGCGGACCTAGTGTCGTCTCAGGTCATCACGGCCCCCATGCATCAGGCCGGTCATACG